GTTGTGCACACCTCCCCTTCCCCTCTCTAGGAGGGGAAGACAGAGACAGACAGACAGAGGTCAACCAGGAAATAGCCAAATGTCAGAATTGAGAAAGAGGGACAGACAAATATCTAGACAGAAAAAAAAAAAGTCAGACAAGTGGAGACCGGGAAACAAACCTAGAAAGTGGGCTAGGACACAGACTCACAAGCTTAAGAGAATAGTATCCCAGAGAAGAGATGGGGAGAAAGCCTGAGAGCCCAGGAAGGCCATGTGAGAGGAGTGACAGTGGGACTTCGGATTTTGGCTCACTGGGAGCAAACTAACAGTCAGATCAGTCTGGAACCCAGAACAAGCAGCAGGCAAGAAAGATAGCTCAATGCTTAGCCCACATGATTCAGGCACGCTGGGGAAAAGGTTGAAGGCAAAATGGGAACTTTCCTTTGAGGAGAGGCTGGTCAGTGACCACCCAGGATCCCAGTAGCACACCCTGGGCCACCTGCCCAGGATGGCACTCAGCCTGTCCACTGCCTGGCTCCAGTCTCCTCACAGCTCAAGTGCTGAAAGGCTCCAGCCCACCCCAAAGCTCCCATCTCCCTTGTCTTCCTTTCCTGGTGTCCTGGTGTCCCTTCTCCCTTAATGTCCTTCCTTCTTGGTTCTCTGGGGACATTTGCTCTGTTTAGCCACTTACTAACTGGGAGGAAAGAGATGCTGTGCCATCAAGCCCCCTGATTTGGGACTGGATGTTCCTTTCTCCTGTGCCGCCCCCCAAACTTGATTGCCCTAGCCTCTTTGAGACAGTTCCACGCCTCTCCTGGAAGCTCATAAATACCAAGCAGAGGCCAGCTAGGCTATGTAACAAGCAGAGATCCCCATGGCATTCTCCTTTAAAATCTTTAGGTTCTCAGGCTCCGCTCTTGTCCCCAGACACCTGAGGTAGTGTAGCAGAGCAGGAGGTGGGGCATTAGGCATGGTGTGAACCTGGCCCCAATTCAAAAGAGACCTGCCTTGTCTGCAAAGAAATCCCAGGAAAGGCATCTGGGGGCCCCTCGTGTATGCAGCAAGCTCAGGCATTCCTTGACTTCCATCCAACACCCCCCCCCCTCCAGCCCCTTCTTGGCCTTTCTCTCTCTACTCATTACCATCCACACCACCTCCCACCCACCAGGAAAGAGAAGGTCATCGCCAACTAGGGCCTAAGGAAAGGGGGCTTTCTAGAAGATAGCCCAGGGTGGAGTCAGGGCTGTTTACACACTGTTTCCCTTAACTCATCTCCACTCTCATCTGAAGGCCAGTAACAATCTAAAGCCATTCAGCCATACAAAGCTTAGCATGAGGTAGAGGGGGGATCTGAACCCTACGTGGCTTCAGTAGAGACAAGAGTGCAAAGTGAGCCTCGAAGCTGAGCATGGAATCTCCTTTTTATGCCCATTTTGAAAATGACAGGAGACTATGGTGCTGTCGCCAAGAGCTGATCTGGAAGCTGTCTGCAGAAGGTTCCAAGGAATTTGGCTGTGCGTGTGCGTGTGTGTGTGAAGGGGTGGACTGGGAGGGGGCAGCCTGGGATTTCTTGGGTCTCTGCTAATACTATTGCTCATTATATCTGCAGCATAGCCTTGAACCCAGAGGTTAGATAGACATCACCTTAAGGCCTTCTTCTGTGTCTATTCCGATGCCCTTGTCAGCCATAGGCACATAGCAGGTACTTACTAAGTGTGACTTGACACCACGCAGGACCCTCCTGACTAGTGTCTGATTCTCAAATCAGAAGCTTCTCCTGCAGGCTCCCATAACTCAAGGCAGTGAGGGCTTGGAGAAGAAGCTAGAGGAGCAAGACGGAGCCTCCAGCCTTGCTTGACCCTCCTTCTGGAAGCCCCATAGCAGGCCCTTGCGTGAGGAGCTGAGCTCTCCAGTAGTGTCTAGGACTTTGAGGCTGGAAGTTTATTTTGAGTTTTGAAGCTCCAAAGTGGCAGATCCCAGAAAACCTCTTCTCTGGCTCCATAATTTTTCTCTAGTTAAGTGGTTGAGTGCTCTTGTACTCAGCTGGCTCCTGCAGCCGGGGATCTGGGGACTGGGGAGAGGGGGAGAAGGAACAAAGTCTCTTCCTGGGTTCCCTATTATAGGGCCGAGGCGGCCTGCAAGCTATGAGGGTCTTGTCTCCTCAGTCCCCTCCCTTCTCGGAATTGCAGATGTTTTAGGGGTGGGGGCTCATATCAGGAATGTACTTCAATAGTTGAGCATCTGTGTTGTGCCAAGACATGGTCCCACTCAGATATGATGATAGCTGAAGCCAAAGAGTGGCCTCAGATGTGAATCTGGGGCCCATGTGGGTGAGTCCACCCAAATCAGATGTGATCATCCCCAGCTCTCATCCCACAACCCTGGCTCATATGTACAAATAAACACAGGCCAGAGTCACACCCAGGTCTAAACACACAGGGGAGTCTGGGAGCAGTATCCAAGCAGGAAGACTTAGACCCTGCAAAAGGGTGGAGCTGGGTTGGGAGGAGGTAAGAGTGGTCCAAGGAGAGAGCTTCAGCCAGGAAAGAGCCTAAACCACAGCCCCTTACCTGACCCCCACAGGGAAACTGGCCTAGAGCCTGTTCCTTACCAAAGCCATAGCAGACCATCGAGAAATCTACCAGACTGCAGGGGTGGGGGAGTTGGGGGGGACAACATGGCTAGCTGCTGGTTCCACTTGCTCCCTGAATTCACCCCTTCCCTTTTCTCATCCAAAGCCAGCCCAGCCCCACCTACATCCACACAGCCCAATGATGGTGGGCGCCTTCCCTCCTCGACACCTTAGCTCACCCTCCATTTACTTATCTCAATTCTCTGACTCCTTCCTAGGGCACTCTGCTCCATTTAGCTGACCCCTTTGATGGCCCCCCCTACACCAGCTCGCTTCTGTCTGGGTGTGTCTACTGACTCTGCTTCTTACAGTGCTCTGTACCACAATCTGCCCCGCTTATTTCCTGCCTGCTCACACCCTCTCTTCATTATCTCTACGAAGATGAAGACGAGGCCCCTTTACCCTGCCCAAGTCTCCCCCACACACTCCCACCTCTCTGCACTTCCCTCTTTGTAACATTCCACGTGCTTCTCTTGTAATGTTGACTATCTATCTTGCTCAATAAAGTGTAAACTCCATGAAGGCAGAAATGCTTTTTTGATTTGTGTCCTCGGAGCCCAGCACAACCCTATCAGATGAAAGAAAATAATATTTGTGGAATTGACGCATCTACTTTGCCCCTTACCACAGAAACTGCAGGCGGAGGACTGAGTTGTGAGGAGAGAGGATGAACGCCCCTCTGAACTTTTCTCTCTTCTCTGTCTCGGAGATGTCTGCAGCCAGCTGTACCCTGTCCTTCACACTCTGCCATCTCTAACACCCCCACCAAACACACTGACAGTGAGTTTGGGGTTAAGGTGGGTGGGCAGTCAGCAGCATGATGTTTATATCAGGACTTTATAGTTTAGATAAAATCACGAGGAGAGGCATGAAAGACACCTGGGAATAGGAGGCTAGGCAGGAGAAACTGAGGCTGAAGGAGTTAGGCCGGACCTCAGAGGAAGTCTCCAGTTGGAAGGCTCCGGGCTTTAAAGAATTTTTATGTTTCAGTAAGGACCATTCTGCCCCCACAGGGCTTCTACTTCACACATAAGGAAGTGCGAGCCCATTGTGAGATGGGACGAGGGGGGCATAAAAAGAGAGCAAAGTATCCTTCCAGCCCACAACACCTCTCCACCTCTTCCCAACTAGCAAACAATCCCCCCGCACCCCCCCGCAGCCCCCCCCCGCCGACTCTGTGAGACTGAGGGAGGACCAGTGGAGAGGAAGAAGGGTGGAAAGAGAGGGGGAGAAAAGGCACCAGGGCTTCCACCCTCTCCGTAGGACCCCCACCCCGGCCTCTGGTGCGGGAAAGCAGCCCAGCTGTTTCTGATTCTTTTCTAGTCGCAGCTCCGCCCGAGGGGGTGGGGGACGGAGATACTGGGAGAGACAGAGCTCCGCCGAGCCCTAGACACCTAGCCAACCGTCAGGGCACCGGCAGGCGGCTGCGTCCGGCCCGCAGGTGTGTCTCTTGGGCGGCAGCGCTGCCCTGAGCTGGGGAAAGCACCAAGGTGGACAAGTCTCAACGAAGGGCAGGACGAGAGGATGGTGTCGGTGCAGTGGGTAGGAGAAGCGGGGTGGAGAAGCGATGAGCCCTTGATGAGAGGGTCCCCCGCCCGAGGCCGGTTGCCCACGGTGCCCCTGTAGGCAGCGTAGCCAAGGAAGCCCCACTATCCTGCAACTCTTGCTGCCCGGGTGTCTACCAATTTCCCAGAAGCGCAAGGATGGGAGGACCACAAGAAAGTACATCTACAGTGCTTAGAGGACTGGAAGTGTCCGCAACCCTCTCCACGCCTTGCCCCCCCCCCCCCCCCCACACACACACCGGGTGTGCCTTGCCATCAAACGCAGCGGTCCGCGTTGCTGAGTGAAGGGCGCTAGGACCCGGTGGCGTGGCGTCGGTAGGGACAGGGGGCTGCAGGCAAGGAAGAGCCCCGTCGCGGGTGGCCGGAGCAGGTGGGGGCGCGGCACGGTGGCGCTCCGTAGGACGGAGGGGAGGGGGCGGCCGCCACACCTAGGGCGCCTCGGAGCACCCAGGCTGGCGCGGGCGGAGCCGCGCTGAAGGCCGCGCGTGTCCCCGGCCCCGCCCCGCGCCGTCCAATGAGAGCTGCGGCCGCAGGGGCTGTCGGCGCGCACTGGCCCCCGCCGCACTCCGCGCCCTGGAGCCACTGACACCGCACCCGATCGCCTACACCCGGCTCAGCGCTCGTCGGTCGCAGGTCACCCTGAAGCTCGCACGCTCTTGGGAACCCTGCGTCCGGCTCCCGGACTCCACGTGCCTTGAGGTCCCCAATTGCCCATGGTCCCCATGGCCACCCTGTGGGGCGATCTAGGAGACGCCTGAGGAAGCCCAGACAGTGCCCGTCCACGGCCCTGTGGGCTGCGCGGCGGGAGTCTGCGCGGAGCTATGCTGAAGCTGCGAGGTGAGAACGAAGCCGCGCAGCTCGCCCTTCGGCGTGCCCGCGTCCCGGTCCCCGTGCCCAGATCCGCGGCCCCCGACGTGTCACCAGCTTCCGCCCGCCTGGGTCTTGCCTGCCTGCTGCTGCTGCTGCTCCTGACTCTGCCGGCCCGTGTAGACACGTCCTGGTGGTAAGTGTGGTTCTGGGGTGGGTAGGCATACTGGAATTAGTGCATTGCTCTGGGTATCGGCTGCTTAGGCACCAGAAGTGCTTGGGAGGAATTGGAGGAAGGACAGTCCCAGAAGTTTCCAGTGGCCAGTGAGAAGTTGGAGAGAACGAGTTGCTGGAAGGAGAGCACTGGATATCTGGAATGAGCGAGCTGATGGTTGAAGTCTAGACTGCTGCAGCATTGTGCCCCTTGGTATTTCTACTCAAGCCTCTAGGGCAGAAGCTACTATGTGATTCTGTCTCAGGGTGGGTTCAAGGAATTAGTACCCTCTCCACATCCTGCAGTGACTGTTTGGCATGGTCATGGCCTTCGGAAAAAAAACCTTTTACTACCTAAGGGTCCCTGGGGACACGAGTAGGGGGACAGCTGGTTGCTTCCCATATGCTTCTGCTAGTCTAACCCACACAGTGAGCCAGTAGCATCCACGGAAAGGCTTAGAAGTGAAATTGAGGCACAAACTTCCCCTTAATTCCCACAATCGAAACAAATTAAATACTTGGGGTTGTATAACCTAGGCATTTGTCACTAGCTTTGGCTTTGAGGTGTAATTTGGAACACCAATGTCCCCTTTCGCTCTCCTGTCCCAGATGACATAACCTGCCACCTTTTCTCCCCAAGGCTTCTAGAGTCTCAAGAGTTGTGAGACCTTCTCTTCAGATCTCTTCTTGCAGTCCTTAATCTTCTGACACTTCCAAAGGGAAATGAGGCAAAAGGCTCCAGGATCCACGGGACGCCTGCTGTGTTCTTTGTAGAATTCCCTATCCAGCCCCAGGACTCCTCCAGCCTCCTTTGGATACTCATCGTCTTTCCAGAAAGGGCCCCCTTTGCGGGTAGCCTGCAAAAAGATTCGGATCTCTCATCCTTCCTTTTACCCCTCCAGTCAAACTGGCCTCTTGGGCTGAGCTAGTGCCCCTCTCTAACATGCAGTGCCCCCTTCCCCCTTGCTCTGCTCCTCCCCTGGAACAAGCACCCCCTCTCCACCCCTACCCCTACCTCCCACAAAGCGAGGTCTCTTCGCTTGCACCCTGTGGCTGCTTTTCTCCTCTGGACTAGGAATCTGGGCTGGAGGGGTGAGGGGTAGCTGGCTGAGGGGCAAGGCAGCTTGGGCGGCAGATTCCTATCATTTCAAGATGCTGCTCTCTCCATCCCCACCCCCACCCCTGTTTTCCTGTTAGAGAAAAATCTTTCTTTTGGATCTTTTTTATCTGTGCAGTGTTGGGGAAGGCAAAGTGGGGGGTTCGGATGAGGAAGCAGAGAGGCCTATATCTTACATCTGGCTTGAAACATTCCTTTAGAAAGGGAAAGGGAAAGAAGGAAGATGGAGAAAAAGAGCTTTTCAATGACTAGAGCAACCCCATCTTTATGACTCAGGTTTGGCTGGGGACTTACATCTTCAGGTTCCCTGTGAGGAAAGCATGGAAACATGTAGTACTCAGTGCCCACCTTGATCTGGCTGACATGGTAACTGGCTTTCTGAAACACTTGATTGCTATTCACCAGTCTGCAATAGTCTTGGTGACCTGTGGACACTGAGATGAGGAAGCAGCACTCTGGACATTTCCACATTCTGGTAGCAGTTCCAAAGCCTTGTCTGCAGCTCTTTTGGCCCCCATTTTTACTTCCTTTCCCATTTCCTTTTTCCCTCCCTCCACAAGTGGTTCATATTAAAGATGTTGCAAAAGCTGCTAGATGGAAGAGCTAGGTGGGGAGGCAGGTGACAGAGGGACTGAGTGGTTCCTATGTTCATGTGAAACAGTGGAAGGCAGTATCAGGGCCAGGATGAGTACAAACCTCATTTGCAGTGCTCAGTTCCATGTCCCTGTCCTCACCGTGTCACAGCTACAGCCGGAGATGTCTGTCTCAGTGGTCAGCACTTGTAGAAGGAGGAGACCTGAATTCTAAAGGCAGATCTGGTCCCCAAGGTGATTATCTCAAACCCAGCAAGATAAGTAGTGTGTATAATCATACAGTCTCGGGAAGAGATGGATGTCTACTGACTCAGTGTGTCTGTGTTCTACTTTGGAGCAGAAGGCTCTCCCTATGACCAGTCAACAGTCTGATGTCACAGCTCAGGATTCTTCTCCTTCCTTTCCCATAACTCCATCTGCATCTTCTCTTAACTAGAAGAGACACGTGGTTTCTTCTCAGTCTGTGACAAGAAATGTGAATATATGGAAACTCACAAGCGCTGGGTGTGCTATTGGGCTCATAAGGAGAGAGCAGAGAGCAGTGTCATGTTAGTTCCACTGTTACCACACACACACCCTTTATTGATTCCTTGCTCAGTTCCAGCACTGTGGCCCAGCACCTCATTAAGCATCACTTTTAACCTCCAGGATGAGTGAGGTAGGTACTGTTATAATCCCTGGTACACCAATGAAGAGATTGCGAAATAGGAGAGGAAGGAAAAACAATAAAACCAAACTGTGCTGGGCACAGCCTTGACCCTAGCACTTGAGTTCCAGGTCTGCCTGATATAGCTAGCAAGTTTTAGACAAAAGTGAGACCCTATCTCCTATCTCAATAATAAGAAAAAAATGCTCAAATTTACACCAATTTTGGAGTCATACAGTTTTATTTCTTTTTTTTTTTTTTTTTTTTAAAGATTTATTTATTTATTTTATATGAATACACTGTAGCTGTCTTCAGACACACCAGAAGAGGGCATCAGATCTCATTACAGATGGTTGTGAGCCACCATGTGGTTGCTGGGATTTGAACTCAGGACCTCTGGAAGTGCAGTCAGTGCTCTTAACCACTGAGCCATCTCTCCAGCCCTTTTTGGTTTTTTTTTTTTTTTGGTTTTTTTTTTTGGTTTTTCGAGACAGGGTTTCTCTGTATAGCCCTGGCTGTCCTGGAACTCACTCTGTAGACCAGGCTGGCCTCGAACTCAGAAATCCGCCTGCCCCTGCCTCCCAAGTGCTGGGATTAAAGGCGTGCGCCACCAACGCCCGGCTACAGTTTTATTTCTAATTAAGCACCATGTGTGCTTCTCTGGCTCTTAGAATAACAATGAATTTTAGCTGGGCACTGTGGCCCATTCCTGTAATAGCACTACTCGGGAAGCTGAGGCAGGAGAATCATAACTTTGAGGCTAGCCTTGGAGGTATAGTGAGACTCAGAAACAAAACAACCAACCACAAAACCCCCTTGTGTTTGAAGTTCCATCACCTCCTTCATCCTGGTCCCCCCCACCACCACCAAGTATCCTTTCACAGAGTGGGATTTCCATCAATATTCCTGAACTCATAATGTTGAGATTTCCCTGCCTCACACTCTGTGGTATCATCTTACTAGGTTGTTGTTGTTGTTTTTAAGAAAGCAACTCATTATGTATGCATCCCTGGCTGTCCCGGAACTCTATACAGACCAGGCTGGCTTCAAACTCACAGAGATCTGCCCTATTCTGCTTTCTGAGTGCTGGGATCATCTGTGAACCACCACTCCACTATGTTTTGAATTTTTTTTTTACAGAATGTTCTGTGACCTGTGTACTATGCAAAGAACAGATCTGGGGGGGGGGTTAACAGTCTTTTCTGCATTTTAAGTCCTGTTTGTGTTGCATTGAAACATTTATACTAATGGGTAGACACAAAAGGAGTCAGAGAGGCCAGGTGTGGTGGCTCACATCTTTAATCACAGTACTTGGGAGGCAGAGGCAGGCAGATCTCTGTGAGTTGGAGGCCAGCCTGGTCTACAAAGTGAGTCCACGGCTGTTACACAGAGAAACCCTGTCTCAAAAAAACCCAAAACCAAACAACAAGCAAACAAAACAATAAAACAAACAAACAAAGGGAGTGGAGGATCCCTGGCTGTGTTCAAAGGATAGAAACAAAGTGTCTGCAAGAGAACATGTAGTGTTGCCAAGCAATCAAGCTAACTGAATAAATTGGGGCTGCCTAGGAGAGCTGAAAGCAGGGGATAATCAGAGAAAGCACATAGTACTACAGAGTACCTATTATGTGCCAGAAGCTTTCCTTAGCACTGGGTATACTGACACAAAGATTGCAGTTCATTAGCTGTGGAGGCAGAGGGAGTCTAGGCACTTACAAACCCTGAGAAGCAAAGGGCTAGTGTAGGTCCTAGCGACTTTGCCAAAGGAAAGGTAAACTGGCAAAAGCAGGTAAGGGAGCCCTCTGGCATCTGAGGCTGGGGCAGAAGTGAAGAATTACTTTCTGAAAGGGAAAACAGGAAGTCAGGACTGAGGTATCTTCTCAAAGACAATGAGCTGAAAGAGAGATAGCATGAAGTCTTTGTGCCCCTAACAACTCAGCCCAGTGACTGGCATGTGGCAGGCATTGTGCAAGCGTTCTTTGGGCTGAGGGCGATGAGTTTGGCTTCAGAGTCAGTATTATTGGCAGTTTCCACATTTGACTACACGGGCTCTGAGAACCAGACGGCAGGCAAACCCCACGCAGGGTCTTGAAGCAGTTACTTAGGAACAAGCATGGTAGTTGGAAAACCTAATTATCTTCCCATCTTATATACCGACCAGATGTTCCCATGCTCATTGAGGATGTAATAAGAAGGATCAGTGTGGGCCACAGCGGAATAGATTAAAGTCAGACCACAGGAAGGCCTTTTTACCAGAGTTGGCCTACCCTACTCCAGACTGTCTATGAGGGCTGGATTATTGGTCTGTCATTCCCATCTAGCCTCCTTCCTCCAAGCCCCAGATAAAAAAAACAAAAAACAAACACCCATTGCCTAGATCAGTAATCTGGGGCTGAACTGGGGAAGCAGATCAGTGGTGAGACAGGGACGAGCTCCAACTCCGATGGTTTCAATACTCCAAACAAAGCACCAGGGCAGTGGTTGTAACTCAAAGCTGTGCGTCAGGCAGGCCTTTCCGGCCTGGCCCAGCCTGGGGTGTTTATTTTGTTTGTTCCTGGAAGCTGCTGCCCTGATGGACAGTGCTGGGATGCTGATTCCATGGGATTTGTTCTTGGAGGATCAACCCTCTCACTCTTCCTTTAGGGATGCTGATTCCATGGGATTTATTCTTGAAGGAACAGCCCTCTCACTCTTCCATCAGGACAGATGGGGCTCATCAGACCCCCTGAGTTCCTGAAGAGGCCAGCGCCAACCCCTCCTTGTGTTTGCCTGACTTACTGTCACTGGTGATGATCTAGTCTGTGGGTGAGGGCTGGCTGTGGGAACGTATGGTGAGAGCGGGCTCAGGGCTGGTCGAGATGCTCCTCCTCTATTGGCTGCCTTCTTTTTTCTCTACTCACTTCTAGGCCTACTTTGTGGCCACTGCCAAATAGACCACTGGCTCATTCATAGATCAGACCAAAGTTTTACTGTTTGCAGTAGCAACTGGTCACTACAGTTCCTACCTGTTCCCAACAGGAAAGGCAGCGGCAGTTCAATTTCAGTGTTGGCACGAGAGAATAGAATATGCTGAAAATACCAAGGGAAGTGCTGTGTGTGTGTGTGTGTGTTGTGTGTGTGTGTGTGTGTGTGTTATAGAGGAGACAGAAAGGCAGAGGAGCTGAGCTGCAGAACGGAGGGAATGAGTCTCATCTCTTTAGAAGACTTCTCGGGGAGACAGGGTGATATTGCTCCTGTTTTCTCTCCAGAATACCTGAATCCATGGCAGAGTCCAAGGGCAAGAGTGTTTGCAAGAAGAGGTAATATTGCCTTGAGCAGTTTCTGAATGATGCTGGCAGCCCACATATCCTTCAGTGGCCATCTTGCTTGAGCTTATAAATTGGTCAGACTAGAGACTCTACTACATTTTAATTGATTCAATTGATTGGTTGGTTGGTTGATTGATAAAGAGACAGATTCTCATTATGTAGCTCTGGCTGGCTTAGAACTCTCTCTGTAGACAAGGCTGCCCTAGAACTCAGAGAGATCTCCCTGTCACTGTCTTCTGAGTGCTGGGATTCAAAGGTCTGTGCTATCCTGTCCTTTGGCCTCTTACTACTTTGTCCTGTTCAGGCTTCCCACTGAAAACAGCTCTTTGTCCATGTAGATCCTTCTTGGACATTGTGCCTTGTAAGTTGGGGAAACTGATTAAGAAAAACTCTGGGGCCTGGAAGTAAAGGGAACGAGGAAGGGTGTAAAAGATGGGGGTCTCATTCTGTAGCTTCAGGATTAGAACTGAGGATGTTTTAACTACCAGATCCAAAGCTGTAAACATTATTCAAACCTGCTCACTATGTGTTCTCCAGCCCCCTCCTCTCTTCATTCTGCTGTGGAGATAGCCAAGCTATCTTCATGGACCAGCCACTGAGTGGTGCCTCTTACATGAGCATGTAAGAGTGTTGTCTCAGATTCTCATTGTGTTAGTTTATTTTGCTGTGAGGATCTTAATGTTTATTAAATAAACAGTCCATGGGTTTGTATGACATGTCACAAGCCTGACCTGTGCTCTAGAAATGTGTGTCACTTTGGTCTTTGGCTAGGGCACTGGTAATGGTGGAGACCACTAGGTCTAGATACAAAATAACTCTCCTCTTTATCCCTCTGCTGATGCCCAGCCCCTTTCAGGAGGCTATGACAAGGCCATTTCCACTTTACAGGTACATAGGGGCACTGGGAGCCCGAGTGATCTGTGACAACATCCCCGGTCTGGTGAGCCGGCAGCGGCAGTTGTGCCAGCGCTACCCAGACATCATGCGCTCAGTAGGTGAAGGTGCCCGGGAGTGGATCCGAGAGTGTCAGCACCAGTTCCGCCATCACCGCTGGAATTGCACCACACTGGACCGGGACCACACTGTCTTTGGCCGTGCCATGCTCAGAAGTAGGGTCCTCTTCCAAGCTTCTGAAGCCCCTTCCCCTTCCTATGCTTGGGGTGGTGAGTTAGAAGGGTAGGCAAGATCCCCTTCATTTCCCTACACACTACTTTGTAATCTCAGAAGAAGCAATAGTGAGCAAACTTGGGAGACAGGAACAGCCACTCTCTAGCCTAGATTTGTAAGCCGGGACCCCTCTCAACCTAAGTGCTCTGAGTAAATAAATCAAGGTAAATATTTCCTACTACTTCTCTCTTACTCCTGCCTTTCTCTGGCTTCCCCATATCCAAGCCCAGCTGGGCATCCATGAACTCTATGGCTGAGGACTAGGACCAGGTTCTCTGCTTTTTACCACCAGAATCACCATCGTCACCCAGGCACTCTAACATTCCCAACGTTATAGCAATGGGCACAAGAGATAAACAGAAGATGATATGCAAATATTCCGAGAGCCTTGACCCCAGTTCAGCAAGAGTTCAGCAGAACTAGAGGGCAAAGGATGGTTCTCTGAACAGGCTGACCCCCTGGGCAGGGGTCCACATTGCAGGGGAACTGTCCAGCAGAGGGGGCCTGAAAGCCCTGGGATGTTGACTAAGGCAGGTGTAGCTGCATCAGGACTAGTTCTCTCTCCCTTCGATCTCCCCTAACTCTGTGGCATGGAGTGTGTGTGTGTGTGTGAGCAAGCATGAGAGTAAGAGAGAGAGTGTGTGTGTGTGTGTGTGGGAGACCCCTAGGGAAAACAGAGGAAACAGAATAGAGGTCAGCCTGAAAGGTCAGATGTACCAAGAAGTGGAGTAGTGAGGGCTGACAGGAGAGGGTGGCTACTCTGAGGAATGAGGATACTTTGATAGGTGGGGTGGGCTCTAGAAAAGCTGAGGACACTTCTGAAGTCATGCTGATTGAAGAAAGGGATGGACAGAGTTGGGCATGTGGCCTGGCCCTGCAATCCCTGCTCTAGGGAGGCTGAGACAGGAAAATCTCAAGTTCAAGGCCAGGTTACATTTACATAACACTTTCTGGGCCTGGACCAAGGAGTAAGACACTGTGAGAAACACCCAGAAGAGTGTGTGTGTGTGTGTGTGTGTGTGTGTGTACACATATGGAGAGGGTGATGGTGGCAGATATGGAGGAGGAAGAGGAGGAGGAGGAGGAGGAGGAGGAGGAGGAGGAGGAGGAGAAAGAGGAGGAAGAGGAGGAGGAAGAATAAGAGGAGGAAGAAGAAGAAGAGTGGAAGACACTGGCTGGGCCATCCCTGTAATAAGTCTCTGCCTCTCTCCGTGTAGGCAGCCGGGAGGCAGCGTTTGTCTATGCTATCTCATCAGCAGGAGTGGTCCATGCTATCACTCGGGCCTGCAGCCAGGGTGAGCTGAGTGTGTGCAGCTGTGACCCATATACCCGTGGTCGGCACCATGATCAACGAGGGGACTTTGACTGGGGTGGCTGTAGTGACAACATCCACTATGGTGTCCGCTTTGCCAAGGCTTTTGTGGATGCCAAAGAGAAGAGGCTTAAGGATGCCCGGGCCCTCATGAACTTACACAACAACCGCTGCGGTCGCACGGTCAGTACTCACATCTGGGTATGCATGTTCATATTTTCTGGTGTAAACCAGTTAGTGTAACCATAGGCTGAATTCAAAGGTGGAAGAGTCAATGGCTTCTGTTTCACTTCCAAAATCCCTAACATTCTGCCACGGACCACACAGGAGCCTGGGTATGTGGGGTTGGAGGTGGGAATGCATAACTGCAATCCAGGTTTCATAAGACAGAAAAATAACTTCCTCTTTCTTCCTTTTCTTTCTTCTCTTCCCTTGCTCTTTTCTTTCTTTCCATTTCCTTCCTTTTTGTTTTCTTTTGGCTTTTCTGCATGGAGGAGGGAATCTGGTGAAGCTCCAGGTTTGTTTGTTTGTTTTTGAGACAGGTCTGTGAAGTCTTGGCTATCTTGGAACTCGATAGACAGACCAGGCTGGCCTTGAACTCACACAGATCTTGCTGCCTCTGCCTACTTAGTGCTGGGATTCAAGGCGTCACATCCTGCCTTGCTTTGTGTTGTGTTGTTTTGTGAACAGAGTCTCACTCTGCCTATATCCTAGGCTGTCTCATCCTCCTGAGTACTGAGATTACCTGTGTATGTCACTGTGCCTAACTAAAATGCCAATTTTGAATATTTAAAAATGTGATCTGTGTATGGTTGTGTGTACACATGTGAACGTGTGGATGTACACACCTGTGCGTTGTCACAGAGGCTAAAGGAGGACGACAGATGTCCTCCTCAGCTACTTTCCACCGTATTCTCTTCATCAGGGTTACTTATTGAACCTGGAGTTCAATCCCAGCAATCTTCCTGTCTCCAGTCCTCCTGTTTCTGTACCTCGGTGCTCATTACTGGGAGTATAGGTCCATGTGCTACCACACCTAGCTTTTTACATGGGTTGTAAAGACTTAAACTCAGGTCCTCAAGGGACTGTAGATGCTCTTACATCCCCAGCCATCTCCCAAGCCTCAAAGTAGCTTTTCCTTTATAATTTTAATTTATCATTGTTGTGGATGTGTGCATGATATATACAGGCGGGCATGCAAGGCATGGTGGATGTGTGGAGGTCAGAGCACAACTCTGTGGAACTGGCTCTCTCCTTCTGCTTATAATGTGTGTTCTGGGGATCAAACCCAGGTTGCCAGAACTGCATGACAAGTCCCTTTCATTGGTATCAGCATCACTGGCCCCAAAAGTAGTTTTGTTCTGTTTTTAAAAAGAAAATGCTCCTTCATAACGACTAAGAGATTCTGGTATGGCTTCAGGTACTCACTGGTGTGTGAGCATCTGCTACAGACTGAGAAATGGCATGCTATACAAGAAGAAGACGTGGCACTTAGCTTTTTTGGGGGGAGCAGAGGGGTTTTGAGACAGGGTTTCTCTGTGTAGCCCTGGCTGTCCTGGAACTCACTCTGTAGACCAGGCTGGCCTCAAACTCAGAAATCTGCCTGCCTCTGCCTCCCAAGTGCTGGGATTAAAGGCGTGCGCCACCACTGCTCGGCCACTTAGCTCTTTAAAATCAGGAGCAGACGCCTGTGGCTTGACAATCCAGCAGGCAAAGGATTGTTGATCCAGGAAGACTTCCTAGAAGAGATTCTATGATGAGTTCAGAAAGATTGGGTGGGATCTGATGTGGCAGAGAATCACCAAGGGCTCAACCAACAGGCCTGGACCAGCAGAGCATAGAGCACTATTCCTTTTGACCCCAGGGATGACCCCACATTGTCCTGAGCTATCTCCTCCCTCCCCTAGGCTGTACGGCGATTTCTGAAGCTGGAGTGCAAGTGTCACGGTGTGAGTGGCTCCTGTACTCTGCGCACCTGCTGGAGGGCACTCTCAGACTTCCGCCGCACTGGTGACTACCTGAGGAAGCGATATGACGGGGCTGTGCAGGTGACGGCCACGCAGGATGGGGCCAATTTCACAGCAGCTCGCCAAGGCTATCGCCATGCCACCCGAACTGATCTTGTCTACTTTGACAACTCCCCTGACTACTGTGTGTTGGACAAGGCTGCAGGTGAGAAAGAAGCAGGCAGACATGGAGCCTAGTTATTAAGGCAGGCACCGCTGCCTAATCAAAGGCTGTCCAGTTTGCAGGAGTTAAGGAAGGGAAAGGAGTCAGTCGCTTCCTTACATGAAAACCTCCTCAAGATAGGTATGTCTCAGGCTGCCAGGCCCTAGGTTCCACAAGCAGGTCATATGTCACTCAATATATCCCTGGTATCCAGGATATGGTAGGTACTACTACTAAGAGAATGTTTAAATGAGCCACCTGTTTCCAAGCTCTGGGCAAGATGTGAGCTATACACACATAGAGACAGAGACAGAGAGAGAAAGACAGAGGAAAGAGATAAAGCAAGCAAATGTAACTACAAAAAAAAAGTGACTAGAGAAATCAAGTAAGATTTGTTTGAATATGGGTACTCGAAGCTGCTTCTTGATATGCTGCCACTACATATTCCAGAAGTGAGGGAAACAGGAGGATCTCTGCCAAGGCCGGTGAAGCAGCAAATGCTTGACTACAAGCATAAAATGGCTGCCTCTCAGTCTGTTCTAAGTTTATGTGGTAGTGGGGTGGGGGTCTTGGGAATGCTACAAGGTGATAAGGTGTTTCTCTGAGAGAACGGAAGCTCCTATCTTGGCCCAGGTAAGTTAAACCAGGGACAGTGTGTGGCTCAATGGAGCTGCTTCTCTTCTGGTTCCTGTCATGGCGTCCCAGGCTCTTTTTCCAGGCAGATTCAATAGTCAAGTCTTGGTAGAGTAGAGCTCTGCACTGTGGCTGGCTTTTGTCCTGTTTTTCTGCACTCCTTATCATTCCTAGGGTCGAGTGGCCCAGAGTGCTTCAGCCCAAAGAAAGCAGGTGGCATCACTCTTCCTATCGGAGGCCATATGCACTCTAGAGAATGCCAGAAGTCAAAGAGATTGGTGATGCCCTCTGACCTCCTAGTGTATACTGTCATGAGGTAGCTTTTCCATGTGGTCTAATTCAGAGGATTCGTACCTGGATGCCCAGGAATAATTTCCACATATCCGTATAGACTATTCTACCCTAAAATGTGCCTTTGGAGAAGGATCTTCGGAATTTAGAGGAAGAATGAGTCATACACTTATTAATGAATTTTTCTCAGAGGCATAAATTTAGGTCCCATAAGCCCCCCACATCCCGATGGTATAAGTTACCCCATGAGTATGGAGACAGGTATCCCCTCCATGGCAGTTCTGTCTGACTAAACTTCCTGCACTGATTGAATACTCACTGCTGTTGTCTCTAGTGCAGAAGCCAACAAGCACATGTGATCACATATGTCCCCTCTTACCTATGGGGGAAGTACTCCAAGGTCAAGGGAAGCCTCAAAGCGTGGGTAGTGTTAAATCTTATATGTACTCTGCTTCTTAGATATACATACCTGTGATGAAGCTTAATTTTTCAGTGATAAATAAGACAGCAGATCCACTGTTTTGGTGATATTGCTGATCTAACGCAGGACCTTGCAATACCCTGGGCACTGGCACTACCACTGAGTCACAAATAGGATGATGTTAATAACATACACTTACAAGTTTTAGTCAGTTATCTTTGCATTGTCCATTTAATACTTTTAGAACTACAGTCGATGTTGGGCAGCAAACGACACCAAATAAAACCACGATCAAGTGTGACAGACATGTTAGTCTAATTCAAAACCAAAACCTTTTAGTTTAGCTAATTTAAATTCATCGAATTTAAGAGATCTAGTACAGTTAGTAGCTAGTATGCTTGTATAGACCCAGATTATAGAAGAGAATTTTGGTACTTGAGACCCAGCCCTTGGAGTTAGAATAACATACGCAGGAGACTTAGCCCATACTCTAGAGCATAAGTTTGCTAACATTTTGGATTATATATTCCTGTTGTTAAAAAAGAAAATAGAGGGGGCTGGAGAAATGGTTCAGTGGTTAAAATTACTTGATACTCCTCTAGAGGACCTGAGTTCAGTTCCTAGCACCCACATTAGGTTGCTCAGAACGGAATCCAGGGGATTGATGCCCTCTTCTGGCCTGTGAGGGCACCCACACACAAGTGTGCACACACACATACAAAGACATACATTTACACAAGAAAATAAATAAAATCAATCTTAAAAAGTAAAACTGGGAGCTGGGAAAGTAGTTCATCAGGTAAAGGTGCTTCTGTAAACCCTGTTCATCTGAGTTTGACCCCCACGGTACCAAGTAGTAGGAGAAAACCAACACCCACAAGCTGTTCTCTGACTTCTGAATGCATGCATGCCCACATACATACATACATACATACATACATACATACACACATACACATATATACACACATACATAAAAATTTTAAGAAAATTGAGCATATGTGTGCACTCTGTGTATGTGTGCTTAGACATTTGCTCATGTTGTTGCTATACATGTAATTATAAGATATTCATGTCTTCTTCATGTAACAGTGCTGGGATCCAATCCAGGGTCTTGCACATGCTAGGCAAGTATGTCACCACTGAACTATATCCCTAGCCTTATATCAGAGATTTTAAACCAATAAGCTAAAACAAAGAATTTCTGCTTTTTCTCTTCTCCATATCCTAGTGAAATGTGGAGGCTATTGCTGTTGAAGTCTTTCCTGAAGACTCAGGCCATGGGTCCCTGTTACTAGGAAAAGGGTTGATGGGGTCTTTTTGTGCTGACATCTTTTGGATTAGCATTCCCTGTGCAAGGAGAAAGCTACCCTACTTTTCAAAAATCCCTTTTGAAAGGGGTATAACACAGAAACTACTTAACGATAAGCCTCCAGCCAGTCATGCCAATCAGCTTGTCTCTTTCGGGCGGAAATACAAATGTACGGTAACAAACTATTTCACTAGATGTTGAGTTGTTTCCTTGAGACAGCATTTTACTATGCATTCCAATTTGACCCCAAACTCACTACACAGCCCATGCTAGCCTAGAACTAAAGTGGCTTCCCTGCCTCAGTAGTTTTGCATGATGGGGTTACAGGCAGGTGCTACCATACCTGGCTAGGCATTATTTTATATACATTAACATATACGAAAACTGAGGCCCAGGTACATTCATTAACTTGCTAAATAGCTATAGCTATGAAGTGGCACAACGAGAATTTAAATCCAGATATGACATCAAATCCCCCACAAAATAGAGAACCTCATCTGACTTACAGTTCTTATATTTTCAAGCTTGATTCTGAAGAGAACATGGAAGTGTGGGGGGCTGCAGGAAAGGAAAGGCAGCTGGGACTGGTGCCTCTGGGGAGCTTTGATGGTGGCAACAAGGGAACTTGGGCCAGAGGGTAACGGATGATTGCTTTGTTTTTATTTTCAGAAACAGAGGTTCTTTATGGCTTCTTGGTTCTCACCTCTCTTCCCTGACTCAGGTTCCCTAGGTACCGCAGGCCGTGTCTGCAGCAAGACTTCTAAAGGAACAGATGGGTGTGAAATCATGTGTTGCGGCCGAGGGTATGACACAACTCGGGTTACCCGTGTTACCCAGTGTGAATGCAAATTCCACTGGTGCTGTGCTGTGCGGTGCAAGGAGTGCAGAAACACTGTGGATGTCCACACGTGCAAGGCCCCGAAGAAGGCAGAGTGGCTGGACCAGACCTGAACACACAGATACCTCATTCTTCCCTCCACTTCAAGCCTCTGACTCAAAAGCACAAGATCCTTGCATGCACACCTTCCTCCACCCTCAATCCTGGGCTGCTACAGCTTCTGTCATGGACTTGGAGAGTGATCCAGAGGGACCCCAATGTCCTGGCTGGTCCCTTAGCCCTAGGGAGGCGTTGATAGGGCACGGGTATAGGAGACTGAGGGGCTCCCTGATGGTCCATCTGGAGGTTTGAAGGGAGAGTAGAAGAGTCTGTCTTCAGAGTGATTTGAGTTGCACTAAGTCAAGGCTCATTCTCCCCTTTGCTTGCACTGACTTCTGATACTCTTTGGGTATGCAACAGGAAGGGAACCTGGAGTTAGCTTCCGTGTTTGATCCTACTCTGCCTAAAGATAGATAGGCCAGAGATAAAACTCCCTTCACTGGAGACTGTATGTGCAGACACTCTTCGCTGTAGTATTCTGCTGAACCCCTGACATAGCTAGATGAGTTAGCAGCATTGAACAAGGCTCCACCCATGCTTGTACGCAGCTTATAAATTTGGTGAGGAGGAAAATCACAATACTGTACAGATATATATTCTCTGTGTCTCCCTTTCTACCTACATCAGACAGCAGCAGATGCTCACTGGCTGCCTGTTCAGAGTGAGGTGGCTTGCAGTGGTTCAAACTCTTAGCAGACCATTAGAGTCCCAGAACAGGACTGTGAGAGAGTAACATAGTAAGCCTGGCTAGGCCTTGGGTCTTTCTCCATCTATTATTCTGGAGATTTTGTAGGTTTGGAAAAGACTAACTAAAAGGCAGGTAACCCATGGGAGAGAGTAAGCACACCCGCTCTCAGGGCTACATGAGGAGCAGTGTATACTAGGAAGACAGAGACCTCTCATTACATTAGTTCTTGAGGAGAGGATCTGCAGCGTTGAGGGAGGAACAAAGCTAGTAGCTGGATAGAGAGAGCTGGTGCTGAAGCGTGGTGGGTAAACATCTTATAAGGCAGTAGCCTCTTCTCATTTACTCAGCAACTCTTTATTTTGTGATTTACCAAATCCTACTGATAACTATTGCCCATTCCATGATCGACTTAAACAGAGAAGGGGCCTCTCTCTGCTACTAACCATTGCCTAACCAGGGTATGCAGGAGTGGAGTCTCCAAAGACAGCAGGCATGATGACATGGGGGTTTGAAACCTTGGTGGCCTAGTTTTATGTGACCTAGACAATGGTCATTTTCTTGCCTACTGATAAACAGGAATAGTATGGAAATCCACAGTTATGACAGACTTAGGTCTAATCCCAGCTACTTCCTATTTTTTAATTTTCAGCAGGGTCTTTAAATTCTCCTGGTCCATTTTGTTATCTGTAAAGTGAGGGTGATACTGAAATCTAACTGTGTCCTAAACTCCAGCCAATGATACACGTTGTCAATGCTTCTGACTAGTCAAGTATATCCTCCTTCTCGAGGACCTTCTGATTTAGGGCTGTCTGGTCTTGACAACAGACTAGATTAAGAGGCTTTCAGAAGGAATTCTGGATATAGTTCCTCTCTCATCTCAGGTTCCTCGTCATCCAGTCGGACTCTCAGATGTTTGTGGAGCAACTTCATTCTGCCCAGGCAGCAGGAGGCTAGGGGGTGGGGGGGGGGTGGGCATAGCTCTGGCCACAGAGGCAGATTTATTTGGATGATAGGACTAATATTTGTGTAACCTGCTGAGACCTGTGTGGGAGAGTTTAGTGTGGTTTTTCTTTTGGTGAGGGGATTTGCTCCGGTTTCACATCCATTAACACAAAACATGAGCTAGTCAGGGCCCTTGTGGTCTGTGGTGAGGGGATGACTGGAGAAGCGGGACTGAGTGAGTCAGGCAGAGGGAATGTCTTCCTTGCAGAGTAGAGTCAACTGGATAACTGATGAGCCAGTGGTGGGGTCAGGGAGGGGGGCAGAGGGGGAGAGGGACTTCTTTTGGAAGATGGGAGCTTTGGAGTGGGGGTGAGAACATCCAAGTTACTACATTAGTGATGGCATTGGCCTTCTATGGGGAGCCAGCCTGAGGTAGATCTACCTGTGCTGTATTCTCTTTGAGTCTGGGTTCTTAGTTGTGGTAGACATCTGTGACATCTCATATGACTCCACGATTACCCCAGGGGCTCCAAATTCTAGCTGATAAAGATATACAACCACTTATAAATGGGTCAGAGAGAAATAGCTGTCCAGGGAGTGAGAAGTTTATAAAGTGAGGTGTTTATGTGAGAGAAAAGATGTCTGTCTGAGTCCTGCTACGGAAGCTGTGTGGCCCCAAGAAGGAATGATGACCAAACGATTCATTTTTCCTCAGAACTTAGCTCATCTCTGCATTCCAACTGGCTTTAGACAACTGGCGTTCATTCTGCGCTATACAAACAGAAACTGATTTATTTGGAACAAGCAACAAAACAAGAACTTTACTCAGTGCTGGGACTCCACATAATTCTGCTGCTACCCCTCATCTTCTCCAAAGGCCCCCTCTTCTGTCTAGTCTCTAGATGGTAGAGGTTTGTCACCCACCAGCAGTGTCTTAACTTCCTCCTCAGTTCCCTTCTCGCTTGTTGGCCTGTATTTCATTTATCTTTTGGTAAACATTTAGGACAGTGTATTTTAATAAGAGCTATTTGGATACAAAGTGAACTTAAAAGATACTGTTTTTATCCTTTAGGGATAATAGGATCTTTTTGGAGACGTCATATGACTGAAGTACCTCAGCTGCACAGCCTGCAGCCAGTTTCTTTTCAATAGAAGAGCCAGGGCGATGGCTTACGATAGTAATCCCAACACTCCAGGAGGCTGATGCAGGAAAATAGCTGTGTTTATGACCAGTGAGCTCCATGTTAGCTTAAGAGCAGAGTAAGACCCTGTCTCAAACAAACAAGCAAGAGGAAGAAAGACTGCTGGCCATAACCCCATAACTCAGCACTACCGGAAAGAACCAGATTTCAGTTTTCAGCTCTGAACAATGGCATCAGTGCACACTCTTCATTAGAGTAAAGGTAAATCAGGTACTTCAGATTAAAAGAAGAAAATACTGTCCTAGGGTCTGTTTACAAAGCTTTGGAGATCTAACTTAGGAACACTCTAGGCCTCATCTCTCTTCTTCTCTGCTTCTCTCTTCCCCTTTCTCTTACATCCCTTATCAAGAACACCAACCATCAAGCCTCTTGCCAAATTCTTAGACCCACTCAGGACATAAGTTTCTGCATGGCTTAATAGAAGACAGATAATCGGATTTCCCACCCCACCCCCGCCTTTCTAAAATTTTTATTTAAATGCTCTCAGTGGTCATAGGGCAGTAGCCCAAGCTAGCTGGGGATAAGGGAGGCGGCCAAGGAGAGTGTTTCTCATCCCTGGGAGGCATTCTGCCTAGCTCCTGCAGCCAAATTACAGCAGCAGAGAACAATGCAGTGCATTCCTGGGCAGGTCGGTGGGCCCTGGGTGCCTGGGTCTGGTGGAGAGAGGTGCCAGACACAGAGTGCTCCATAAGCAAGCCTGCAGAGCTGGCCCTGGGTGCAGAAATGAAATACAGAGAGCTTCACATTACACACCTGGTTATTGATGGCCTTGCTGGAGGCCTCTGCCCCCACCTTCCACTTGGGAACTGCCTGTATTGCGGGGGTTGGGCACCTCTGGAGCAATGTTGGAATATAGGAAAGACATGCTTCCTTTTTACTCTTTGTCCCTCCTGTCAGCCTGAGTGTAACTTTGAGGACACACACGTACCCACATGCAGAAGGTTCACTCAAAACAGACTCACACAGCTTTTTACGGGTTGTATGGGAATTATAATAATCTCACCTCTCCCAACAATTAAAATAAGCAGCTAGATCCTCCAGAAGTCGCATCAACAGGTCAGCTACAAGCAAGGAATGTTTCAAAACTACATTATCAACATTCAATGCAATGTTTGCTTTGGGAATTGGTACTCTCCTGGGAGGTGGTAGAGGAAGGACACAGAAAGGGCATGGAGAAAAGATCAAGGGTGGAGAATTACCACCCAAGCAGAGTGGCTGAGGCCATGTAACTTCTCAAACCTGTTCTGCACTGAGGACAGAGAAGAGTGCATCCATCCTATGTGTTCTGAGTGACTGGCCAGCCTCCTGGGACTGCTCTGAGGTATACATAGTCTGAGCTTGCTCTTTATGACCTGCTGTTTTAAACAGTATACTTTGATTCCAGGAACGGTCTCTTTAAGAGAGGTCTGGAGGAACAAGCAGTGGCTTCTCGAGGGTAACTGCGTCCGACTGTGACCTTTAAGGAGTGGTCTTTATCTCTGGATGATTGACAGGTCTCAGGGAGTAGACCTGAAGTTTCCCCACTTCTACAGCTTGGCTCATCTCTGAACATTGCTGTAGCCATCCACTTAGGATGCGGCAGTCACCCAGGGTTTGAAAATCCAAGATGAACATTCTCTGCTCTGCTCCTTAACTCTCAAGTCTCTTTTGTTGTTGTTCGCTTCCATTTTGCCTATGAATCTATGGAGAGAGTGGCTGGACACAGGGGTTCCTTAACCTAGAAGGCAGAAATCTGACTACACTTTGTCAACACCACCAGCCCCTGTAAGCAGCCATGGCCAAAAAGAAAAAGCCAAGCCACAGTTTCAACTTTTGACAAATTACAAGATGGGGCTTCCACAAAAATAGCAATCGTGCTCACAAAAGCCTTTTGTGCACAAAATGTTTGGGCATGTATACATAGGTCTCACAATCACCCCAAGGCTCGTGACAGGGCGATTATTTTATGGAGTCATTCAGAGAGGTTCAGTGAATGATCCCCCCAAGAATGCAAACCTAGTTTTCTTTTAGCTTCAAATACTATGTACTCTTTTAAAAGTCTGAGGATGCTAGGATTTGGGGATGGGGGACTGTCACCATAGTACCAGCACTTCAGAACAGAAACTACTGTTAAGTGGTTCAACCCATGGAGGAGTCTTAGACTGCCAGCAGAGTATCTAAGTGGAGCTTATAAAGACTAAGTCTACATTCTCCTAACCTCATGAATGTCTTGTTCCTACTCTGCCACTGTTAATTCTACAAAGAACTCTGCATTTCAGCAGCCTTTGCTTCTCAGTCTTTGTAGCCCCACTCCATCCCTCAGATTAGCATTCAATTTTTTTGTTTTATGTTCTTTTAAATTCTTTTCCAGTGGTACACAATGCATAGGCAGAGTGAAGTAGTTATGAGAAGACATGGCTATACTGTGGGCTTATTTTGAATTTCCTTTGAGACTTCATTCTTTTTAAAAATCACTACCAAATTCTTGGTGAGAGAGCTAAGCCACCATCCCACCCAATCCCACTCAGGACGCTATCTGCGACATGCAGTTCATCTACCAACTGTGTCCAACCTTGGCAATATAATACAAAAATCTTTGCTCAAGAACCATGCAGACAAATCACAAAGCCTCTCATATTTTAAGTAAGCTTATAACTATAATTTTATGTTGGGCTGCATTTATAGTTATTCTTTGCTATGTGCAGGTACATGTGGCTTATGGGCTGCAGGCTGGACACATCTACGACAAAGGAGATCTATGATGCAGAGAAAAGTCTCTAAGATGAGGCAGAAGCAGATATTATTTGATTAAAATCTCTTGCTTCTCTCAGTTCCTCCTTCTGCACTCACTCAAAATTGGGGTCTCAGTTTAATCACAGACAACGAGAAAAGGCAGCCCAGCCAACCCTTCCCTGTCCTACATTGGAGTACACTTGCTTAAGATAGCATAAGCCCTCAAATCCCCTACGTATCTCACTGGTGTTCCCCAGCTGAGAAGTCAGAAGGAAGCTGCAGAAGCACAGTATTCATCAATCATAGACTGGGACATTGTAGCTCTCTGACTTGGGCCCCTGCTTGAGCTAGGGAAAGAACACCTAGCCATAGTCAGGATTTCTTGTGCAGCAACTCTTAGTTTTTGGTCCATCCATCTTGGCTCTCACTGTTCTCCTGCTCTCCACCCCCAACTGCCTCCACATGTGGGCTCAGAAGTCATCATCTAAAGAATTCCACTGCTCACCTCCTGCATAGCAGCACAGCCCCATGAGGCTGCACGCCAGATGGAGGGGATAAAAGTACGAGGTCATGGCTTCTAGCAAGAGGTTTTTCTTAAACTAACCCTGACTCCTGGAAAAGAGTCAGAGCAGGAGTATGTCTGGTGAGCTGCTGACAACAGCAGCTTCATAGATCTTGTGTGAAAAGGAAGGGAACTTCTACCTTGGCTTTCAGTGGAAATTTCCCTACTTCTATCTTTAGGTCTACTCCTGGTTTCATGTCTGTAGCTTGAAAATGTCTGAGAAGAATGTAGAGATGGACAAATCAAAGGGTTAAGTATTTCCTAAATGTGATGACCCACATGCTGACATACAGGCCTTCCATCAACAGATGCCTTGTTTCTACAAGGAATACAGCAAGAAAAGGGAGGAAGGCACACTAGGCCCCTGATGACCGTGGACAGGCCGCCAGTAGGCCCTCATCGGTTTGTGTAGAATGAAAAGGGCAAGGGGGAAAGGGAATTAGAGAATGGCCATCTTTGTTAGCATTATGATTGTTGGGAGATACCACACAGAGACAGCAGCTACCCAGAGACAAACAGAGACTGGGTAACAACTCTTAGAATAAAGGAAGTATGAATGAGACCCATCAGAGATGTTTTTTCAAAGGAGGTGCCTGAGAGCTGGAATGTTATAAGGCATGAACAGCTGGAAGGCAGTCAGAGGAAGGCATTCTATGTTGAAGGAACTGGTGTGTGCTGAGGCTTACAAGCAAGAATGTATAAGCAATATATTAGGAATTTCAAGCAAGTATATACTATATACATTGGGGAATACAGAGAAATCAGAATGCTGAGCCCAGAGCTTTATTATGAGGTGACTGTGTCAGAAGGTTCAGAGTCTCATAAGAACCACAGAACAGCTATGTCAGTGAACTCCAGGGCATCTTTGGGAAAGTACTGAGATGAGTTCATTTGATATCCATACAACAACTCAAAGAGATGGCTGTTTGTGAAATCCACCAAAATGCTATGCATCATCTACCAATCCTTATCATTTGAAATTCTGAGTTAATCAAGTGATATTAAATGCCTAGAGCTATAACACATGAATGTATCATTAGGCCCAGAACCTGACATCAGTCAAGTCAAATGGATAAGAAATGAGAATGTAAAAAAGGAATAATTTGCCGGGCAGTGGTGGCACACGCCTTTAATCCCAGAATTTGGGAGGGAGAGGCAGGGGGATTTCTGAGTTCGAGGCCAGCCTGGTCTACAGAGTGAGTTCCAGGACAGCCAGGGCTACACAGAGAAACCCTGTCTTGGAAAACCAAAAAAAAAAAAAAAAAAAGGAACAATTTACAAATTATTAGAAAATACATTTCTTCCCTTCACTACAAACCTTAAAATTTGTCTGATTCTTATTCCATTTGATATATTGGATTTTTGTGGCCACAGGTTTATCATACCTGAGGACACAGTGGATAGACGGAAACCTCAGAAGAATTTTAGAGACCAAAAGCAAGCTGACTGGTGAATGAGAAGACAGTTCTAATGTACTACAGAGCACTGGACCAACAGCCAAAGGTAGACTGAGCCCATGGTCTCCAACTACATCTGTGGTTGGTTAGATTTGTGATTTGTTAG